TCTTGCTCCACTATTTCAAAAGATTGCCCCTGCTTGGCTTGGCTTTGGTACACATCATATCAAGCTCCTCTTTGAAGTTGCGTTTCCAAACCGAGAGGTTGCAGAGGCATTATCAAAAAAATTATGCTATTCCTCATCTTCCAAATGATCTAGCATGTTGTTTTTACTATTTCTCTGAAGATGATGCTGCCAAAATTTGTTCTAGCCTCAATTATCATGTCCAATGGCTGGAGATTATTCAAATTCCAATGTATGATAAGATAACAACAACAACTCTGATTGAAAGGGCAATCAAAGAAAAGATGCACTCTCTTCTACCCCATTATTGCAAAGAACACATGTGTAATCATCCACATCTTTGTTTTTTTCCTTCTAAGCAAGTTCCTTATGTTGAGTCGGTCCCTGAGGAGCAACTAGAAGAAAAACTTATGTTTACCAAGATTGCCTTGAGACCAAAGCCATGGGAATAGTGGTGAAGCTTCCCAAACACCATGTAAATGTTTATAGACTTTCTTGGTGTTGAAACCACTATTTCCCCAAGAGTATGTCCATTTATCAGTGACATTTTCATCTAGATGCCTGGCCTTAAATAGTTCCTGCAGTTCTGACAACAGTTCACAACCGAATCAAAGATAGGTAAGCTAAAAATTCTATCCAGATGTTGATGTTGTAGCAAAAAATTGATGGAACACTTTGGTTTTCTAGTGAAAGAAAACAGCTGGGGCATAAAATTTTTCAAAATAGAGCCACTCCAATTGTCTCCCCATAGTAGCATGGAATTGCCTTTATTTGGAATGCAGACTGAGAAGGATTTGACTTTGTCAAATAATTTAAGGACATCTTTCCACCAAAAAGAGCCAACAGGACTCCTAGCATGTGGTGGTGTCTGTGTATTTCCATATAATTTGGACCATGTTAAATTCACCCATGGTAAATCAGCATTGTTATAAAATTTGTCAAGGTGCTTCAATAACAAAGTTGTATTTTGTGTTTTCTGGTCAATGATACCTAGACCTCCCTCCTCCTTCGGTCTACATGAGGTTTCCCAGTCTACTACACAGGTACCCTTCCTGTTTATATTCATGCACTCCAAAGACAGTGCTTTTGATATCTATCAATTTGTTTGACAACCTGTGGAGGTATCCGTAGAGTGCACTTATAAAAAGTGGGAAGAGCAAAGAAAACTGAGTTGACAAGAATCAACCTTCCATGGTAGGATAAAAACCTAGGATCCCAGAGAGTCTCCCTTCTATTCTAGACAAGAGAGGTGTGAAGTCCTGGACTGATGGTTTGGTGGTGCCAAGAGGCAACCCCAAATATGTGAAAGGCATCCGACCCACTTTGCATCCAAAACTATTTGCAAGATGTGAAGTTCTGTCAGTTGTCATGCTTATTGGTACCAAGAATGACTTACTGAAGTTGACATGCAATCCAGTTGAATCTGAAAAGGTCCTTAACAGGCATTTCAATTTAAACAAAGTTCTTGCTTCAACAGGTAGGATGAGAAGTGTATCATCTGCATATTGAATAATAGGGTAGACTCCTCCAAAGTTTTCACTTAGAGGGTGTTTCAAAACTCCATTTTGCCATGCTTTATTCACAATGGTTTGCAATAGATCAGCAACCAAGACAAAAAGGAGTGGTGATAGAGGATCACCCTGCTTGACCCCTCTGAGGCAATTGAAAGGTTTTCCAGGGATGCCATTAAGTAAAACAGATGAGGTGCCGGAGCTTAGAATACTATTGATCCAACCAACATATTTGTTGGCAATGCTTAACTCATATTTCTATCGCCAACATTTAAACAAAATAAAACAAATATGAATGTTAAATCTTAGAAATAGGGTTTTCGACTCACATTTTCCATGAGTTTTGGCATATATATGTTTTGTAGGACACAATAATGAAATACATGTCAAAGTACGCAATCAGGGAAAGCGCAAAGCGCATTTGCACCAAAAGAAACACAAGACAGCCAATCTTGCTACAAAATCAGGCCAAACACCAACGTGGTAGGGGTCTAGGTCTACCCAAGAGCCCACCTGGAGAAGGCGGTGTGGCGAGGTGCCAACCAGGGTGCGGCCGCACCCTAGGTGCACCCTGGGTGCGGCTGCACCCCCCTTGCCACCTCTCGGGCCCACTCTTCAGGAGGTGGTGCAATTAATGCCTCCAAGGATGGTTGCATGGGTGCTTACCAAAAATACTTCACCAAACCATCATACTCAAGGCTATATAAGAAGACCCCCTCCTCACATTTCAAATCATCAAACACTTGGAGAAGAAGAGCAAGAGCACCTACATTTCCATTAGCTTCTAGCTAGTCTAGTGTAGGGAGTGAGAGAGGAAAGAGTGAGAGGAAGAGCAGAGTAGTGGCTCCCTCTATTTCTTGTACTCGGCAAGCCTTGTATATCAGGTGGATGGAGGGCCAAACTTGTCGGCCTCCCCCTCTACACTTGTACCACTACAATCGTCTTGCTACTTGGAGTAAGACGTTTGTGTTCATGTTTCGATAACGAGTTCTTAAGAAAGTTATCTTTGTTCATTACAAACTTGCGGGTTCATCGTTGGTCCCTAGGGCAAATACTCTAGTAGAGGACTCCTGATAAAGATGGAAGTTCCTCGCCAACGCTAGAGTACTGATCGATAGCATAGATGTGGTGTTTAAGCTAGAAGTCACCTTCATTTGCCTCGTATCCTCTGGTCGAGGGGTAGGTGACAGGTGGTGAGAGCCCTGTCCGTCCTTCATAATCCCCCACATTCGGATACGGCGTAGAGCTGTAGGTCGGCTAGACTTGGTAGACCAAGTGTTCACCGATGCCCGAAGCAAGTCTGTAGTAGCAAAGTTACCTTTTCTTTGGTTCTCTAATCTTTAGAAGAACCTCACTACCTAAGTTATCCTTCCTCTTGTTCTCCTAGGTAAACTAGCCAAGAGACTACTTACACCTCCATTCCTCGTGGAAATACGATACCTTGAATATCACCGGGTGAAGTTCTACAATGGTACTTTCGTGCGCTTGCGGACTTTTCTGCTTACGCTAAGAAGCACCAACAAGCATTTCTGGCGCCGTTGCCGAGGAACGGTTGTCGTTTTAGTCTCTGAACCTAGTTCATCCATGTATCCTTTGTTTTTACCTTTCTTTTGCTTTTACTCTTTTCCAATGGAGCAACCCACCATTCAAAACCTTTCTGCTCCCAAGGGCGAGTTTGTAGAACCACCACAATCATCAAAGCCAATCATAGCTTCTAATTATGAACTCTGCCCTAGCTTCATGGCCATGGTTCGAGAACAGACCTTCTCGAGGTTAGATTATGAAAACCCCTACCACCATCTAAGGGAGTTTGAGCAGCTCTGTGCTTGCCTGACCATTTCAGGCATGTCACAAGAAACACTTTGGTGGAAGTTGTTTCCTTTCTCACTTGATGAGAGGGCGAAATAATGGTACGCCCATAACGTAGGGAAGGTAGCTGGCGATTGGGAAGAACTAAGGAACAAATTCTGTCTTGCATTCTTCCCTATATCCCGAATAGCTGCCCTACGATAAGAAATCCTTAGCTTCCAACAAATTGAGAAGGAAACCATAGGTGTAGCTTGGGACAGGTTCTCAATTTTAATGAGATCTGGCCCAGACTTGTCTATACCCAACCATGTGCTTTTATAACATTTCTGGTTAGGGCTTAGCAAGGAATCTACCCTACAGCTTGATATAGCTGTCGGAGGGTCTTTCACTCATAAAACCACAGCGAAAGGAGAAGCTCTCCTAGACTACATTCTAGAGAATACTCTCCCGCTAGAACCCCTCCATCTAGAACTTGAGCTAAAACACGAGGAAGTCTCTTTGGCTGAGACCGAACCCTTAGAACCCATAAAGAGACCCTCGCCCGAACTAGGAGATCCGGAAGAAGGTTTCCAACCTTTAGACCTCCCGTATTTTGAGGATGACTTTTTCAAAGAATTCAGAAACACCACGAAGTACTCATGTCAAAAGAGACCACCAGTTCCTGTCACTACTTCGGACCCCTTAAACGAACAATTTCTTAGAAAATCCGTCAAGGAGTTGATAGCTATCATGAGTAGCGAATGGGTAGAAGAAGTGGAGCTTTCATCTAAAGAAATTCAGATATGCACCCCTTCCTCCACCATCCAATGCTCAATCGGCAAAACTTCGGTGGATGTCCTCTACAATCCTACTGTCGGAGCTAACCTCATGTCTGCGTCTTTTGTTCACACCTATTTTAGCGATGACGCCATCACTTCGACAATCAAAACCTGCAGAATTGCATCACATTTTAGACTAGAAGGACTAGGGGTTCTTCATAACATTTCACTTTATCATAATGACAATGAAGTTCCCCTAGACTTCCATGTCTTCAACATCCAGGATTTTGATATCTTAATAGGGCATCCCCTAGAAAAACTCTTCCTCAATCTACCAAAAACAAGGAATTTGGACGTAAAGCTGGGGAGAGACACCTTTCCCATTCCTATCACCCGAGCCAAAAACTCGGTGGTAGAATCTCTCCCCTACTCTAGCATGCCCAAGGTTCTTTGTTGCTCTTAAACCATACATTGATGGGTTTTTGCAAGGATGCAGAGCCTATATTTACATGGATGCAACTCATTTGACAAGAACGTCAAGAGGTCCGTTGGCATCAGTTGTTGTCATGGATGGTCATAATTGGTTGTTCCTAGTAGCATATGTAGTGATTGAGATTGAGTCGAATGAAAGTTGGACTTGGTTTGTCAGTAACTTGAAGAAGGTTATTAGTAGTCCTCTAGGTGTGTTCATATTTCTAAATTTGTTTTGCATCTTTCAAGTTTAAACTTTAATTTCTTGACATAGAGGGAATATGTTCATATAGGCTTTGTCATTAGTACAGATGTTGGTAAAGAAAAAAGGAATAGGTGTGGTTGTGGATGACATGTGCCCTACAGTAGAACATAGTGAACGTATGAGGCACTTGTGGAAGAACATTGTGAATTTATGTGGTGTGCTGCTAAGAGCTTTACAATTGCCAAGTTCAACTACTTTATGGGGCCGATAGAGGAGAAGGTTCCTAAGGCCCTTGAATGGTTAGATGAGAATCGTTCATATGTGGCAGTAGAAGCAAATTCAGTGAAGACTGTAAAGTAGATTACATCGATAATAACCTCAGAATTTTTTAATAGCTAGGTGTCAAAAACAAAGGATTTACAAATCATGGAAATGCTTGACAAGATAAGACAGATGATCATTGAGAAGTTTGTTTTGAGGGCTAAAATTGGAAGTAATATGTCAGCATAATAAACCCAGCTATTGCCAATGATTTGAATGCTAAAACCAAGACTATCGAAGGCCATGAGCTATTAATATGTGGGTTTGAGAAAGCTAAAGTAACTATGAATAGATTCAGGCATGCAATCAATGCAACTTGGAGCAAAACACGTGTAGTTGTAGGGATTATCAAGTGAGTGGAAAATCTTTGTAGCCATGCTTTAGTTTTCATTGTAAAGCTTAGTAGGAAGGTACAAATGGATAACTTTGTTCATGAGTACTTCTCTATTGATAGATTTAGAAAGGAACATGCATGTCAATTCAATCCAGTGACATTCAAGGATCAGTGGTCTAATGTTGATTTAGGACAAAATCAAGAAACCCAAAATGAGGAGGAAACTTGGGAGACCAAGAGAATCTAGGATCAAGGCATATGATGAAGCTAACACTAGTAAGAAAAGGAAGGTGTGTTTCGAATGCAATGAACTAGGCCATACAACTAAATATTGCTAAGAAGGTCCTACAACTAGGCAAAGAGGAGGTTCTCAACACCACAAGATGGATCAAGAGAATGAAGCAATGATCCAATGTAAGTCATGCATGCATTGCTTCCCATTACTATTTATTTAGCTCATTTAATCATGGGGTTTTAATTCTACTAACACATTTTTTCTAACACAAGAAGTGCAAGTGCAAGTGCTAGTGCTAGTGCAACTAGTATTGGAAGGGGAAGGGGAAGGGGAAGTGGAAGGGGGTCAGGAGAGGACAACAATAACCCAATGTAAGTCGTGCATATTGTTCATTAATATTTATTTTGCAAATTTAATCATTACTAACTTTACTAAACATGTTTTTTTCTTTTTTAATATGAGGTGGTACTGGTACCAAAAGTGGAAGAGGAAGGGAAAGAGGGTCAGCAACAGGGAGAGAGTCAGGACAGGACAACAATGATCCATTATAAGTCATGCATGCATTTTCGCTTATTACAATTTATTTTGCCTATTTCATCTTTCATAATTTTACCAACATGATTTTACTCTTTTCATATGAAGTGAAACTATGCAAGTGCAAGTGCAACTGGAAGATCTAGGCCAAGGGGAGCAACGAGAGGAACTGCTCGGGGGCGTACGAGTTTGTTGGGTTTCCATGCTTGAATGTGATGTTTGCCACTAGAGATGTTAAAACTCACCACTAGTTATTTTTGTTCCATATGTCATGCAGACGTGTATGTTGGCATGTCTTATGCATATATTGGTATGTGATCTAGATGTGTTAATGTGATATCGACATGTTACTATATCATAGCTTTCGTTTATGGTTTCACGATTAAATGCAAGTTGTGTGGTAATGAAATGTGTATGTCAATATTTTGGCATAAATGTTGTCAAATTTTGCAAAAAATATAAAAGTTTGCACAGGTTTAAATTTTAAAACTTATGCAATAAACTGTATTAAATTTTGCTGCTAAAATCTTGTCAAAAATCTACAAAAATAATGTCTAAACCTTTGAATCCAAAACTAGGGTAAAATCATAATTAACCAACAAAAGCGATGGCAAACCGCCAAGAGCGATTTTTTTATTTCATCTCAAAATTAACACCGCTACAAAGACTTAACAGAATAGGAATAAAGTCTGCTTTCGATTTGAAATTACAGACGCAAAACACAAGTTGCGAAAAATGAGGACAACATCATCATAAGCCATGAATGTCAAAGCCTCTTAAATTTAAGGTTGAGCCAAGCCTATTATAGCTAGCCCATTTTTATTGAGCGCGTGTTTGGTTCCACCCCAAAATTCTCAAAAGTGTTACAGTACCTGTCACACCGAATATTTACGGCCTATGCATGGAGCATTAAATATAGACGAAAAAAAAACTAATTGCACGGTTTGATGGGAAATTGCGAGACGAACGTTTTGAGCCTAATTAGTCCATGTTTAAACACTAATTGTCAAATAAAAACGAACGTGCTACAATAACCCTAAATTCCAACTTCATGGAACTAAACACGCCCTGATACTAATACTGTGCAAAGTTATATATCGTGTTGCAATGCACAAACATATTTGTTATTTTTTTACTACAAACATATTTGTTAGTTAGCCTAAAGTTAATGATGGCCAGGATGAAATTAACCTAAACTTAGTGCTGGCCAGGGCTTGCCAGCAAACCAAACACAGGCGGGGATAAGATCGTCATCCTGGTCTGCTCATGAACTGCTCTGCTCATGAACTGCTCCGATGTCCATCAAACGACCTCCACCGGCCGCTCGGGCGCCGGGAGCACGCTGGAACGGCAGACCGGGCAAGTTGCGTGCGCTCGCAGCCACGGATCGATGCACTCTCTGTGGAACACGTGCTGGCACGCCGGCAGCTGCCGCACCGTCTCTCCCTTCTCCACCTCTCCCAGGCACACCGCGCAGTCCTCGGCCGCGCCGTCGCCCAGGTAGTCGTAGCTCGGGACGCGCCCCGCAGCGAGGGCGGCATGCATCTCCGCGCGGTGACCAATCACGAGCTGCTCCGTGTGGCGGAGGGCGTGCGACATCACCCGCGTCGCCGTCGTCGTTTCTTCCCCGGCGACAGCTGACGACGCCTCAGCGTCCTCCTGCTGCAGGCCGTCAGACTCCGCGGCGGAGAGCCAGCGCGGCCACGGCGGGCGCCTGAGCTCGGCGTAGAAGCGGAGGCAGAGGATGAGGCTGGTGGCGGTGCACAAGGCCGCGAACGCGGCGAATAACATGGCGCGGCCTGTGTGCGGCCGGTTGACGAGGAGGAGAACGGCCACCGGAAACGTGACTAGGCCGCTGGCGAAGATGGCGTGCGCGACGACGAAGTCGCGGCTCCACCTGTAGCAGGTGTCAGGCTCGTCGTCGGCAGACATACGGCCCGTAGGCTGAAGCCTATCGAGCTTTTTGTCAGAGCCTATGTGGAGCTTGGCGCGGCGGCGATAATAATGTCCTACCGGCGGTACAGTCGATAGCTAGCTCGTACGGACAGCTAGATCCCTTCGTATTTAGCCTTGCACGGGAAGATTTTACGCGAGTTATCAATGGTGGCGTGCGCAGTAAATAATTGAGCTGCTTGGACGTAGCACATCTCAGTGTGTCCGTCATTGTTAGATGTGGGCTTTGTGGATGTGGAGTGGAGATGGAAGCGATAACATCTGCATCAGCGTGTGTTTTTTTGTTCCAATCTGTTGATCTAGTTTGTGTTGTTTGGTGATAGTATATATGTATCTTCATTGGAATTGTGTATACGTTATTCTTACTTGTTTCTAATTATAAAAAATGGTTCAAGTAGTTATCCAATGTTTACTGATTGAAAATTGTATCTCTCAATTGAAATGGACCGGGAATTCCAAGCCTTTGTCCTTCTCTCACAGTACGACGATGTATCATGTTATGTCTAGGGTATTATAAATCATACCCTATGTTTTATTTTTAAAAAACCAATGATGCACAATTTATATAGTTCACTAGCAAATATGTCCGTGCGTTGCACGCGGGAAAAAAAAACTATCAAATGTTGATGAGAAACAATGACGAAAATAATACATATCTATTCATGTTTTTATCCTTTCTATAAAATTTAAAATTTATTTTATGACGACCATGTTGGCAATAATATAGCAATGTTCTATTAAATCAGTATTGAGTTAAAATACAACTTTGATAGATTTTTTTATCCTCTTGCAAAGCATATAAATATTTAGAGATTAATATATCATAACTTTAATTTTTATATACTATCTATGTATTGCTATAGTTAAATATCAAATTCCGTAAGTCTATACCTAATACTAAAGTTAGAAAAAACATGGGACACAGTTATATTAACGATAGTTAGCTGAGTTGGACGCGGGTGGATTAACAGACGTAGACCGAAGAGACGACCACAAGGATTTGACAAAAAAAAAAAGAAAAAAAGAATAACAAAGTTAGAAAATGGACCGAAACTAAGAAATTTTTACTGATTTAATATAAACAATAAACATATCCAATGGAATCTAATACATAGAAGACCCGGACTATGTATCATCTTCGTAGTTTACTATTATGCTACTTTTATTTGGATTAGGATTATGATTCTATTCTATTCAGGTTACTTAGAATCGTAGAGATTTATTTGGATTTGGATTATGAGTTTGGGTCACATATATCATCCGATACGTTTTGGAATCGGCCTTTGTATCGCGCTAGACAAGAGCTGTTCCAACTCATATGAGCTCGAATTATTATATTTATATATATATATATATATAATAATAATAATAAGTCTGGATGGAAGAAACTCTCCATTGTCCGGTAGTTAAAGGGAGGTGGACCAAAAAATGGATGGACGAAAAAATAGGCTGAAATTTTGTCTCTTTAGTATTAGGCATAGATATAGATATAGAGGTATAGATATGACTAAGACGATAATTTTATCCTTGTTTATCTATATTGAGTTTAGTATACTTATATAGTATTTCGATTGTTATGATATGACGTGTGTGTTGTGTGTGAGTTTTTCTACTCCTATCTTCAATATACCTCCTTTATTTGTCATTGAAGTATGCTTATATACTTAGATTATTTTAAAATACTCCAAACAATGTCATGCCTCGTTTCATCAAAAAAAAAAAAATGTCATGCCTCCTCTTCTCTTGTATGCGGCGCGCAAATCTTGGTCCAGGCCCACATACCATTACAGACCCATATTGGGCCATAATACTTGACTTGCCGACACGAGTTCCCTTGCTGCCTTGCTGGTGTGACATGATGCTGGACTTGGGCTTGCTAACGGATCAGCGATGTGTAGCGCCGCTACGTGCTATCAGTTTTCTCCTCGAAAAAAAGTTTACATTACCTCTCTCAATTTTTTTACGAAAGTCTACTTTTTCACCCTGAACTTAGAAACCGGGTAAACCAACTCCATCAACTTTTAAAACTGCTCATTTTACCTCCCTGACCCAGTTATGGGTGATTTACAAAGGCGGTTTTGTCTTTTCTTTTTTATTTACTTTGGCTGAATATTTGAAAAATCATAGTAACCACAAAAAAAATCATAAAATAGAAAAACTAATTTTTTTTGACTCCACATGAGTAGATCTACACAGTGAATATATAATATGGTATGCTTTAGTACAAATTTTTTGTTCTAGCTTTAGAACTATGTTTTTCCGTAATTAATTCAAACCTATAGTTTCTATGATTCAATTGTAGTGAAATTTATATGGTTAGTTAATTATTGTATTATTGAACTGTAGTAAAAATTTCATGCTCATTGGATCATGTATAACTGAGTTATACATTTATTTAGTTTTATGTTTGTTAAATAGTTTTAAAATAGTTAAAAGTGTATAAAAATAGAAACGAGTATCAAATTTTTACTGCAGTTAAAGCATGCAATAATTAGACCACAATAAAATTTCACCACAATTGGACCATAGAAACTGTAGCTATGAATTAATTATAGAAAAGCATAATTCTAAAGTTAGAGCAAAAACTTTATACTAAAGCATAACATATTATATGTTTATCGTAGATCTACTCATGACAAGTCCAACAAAATTGAACTTTTCATTTTATGATTTTTCTAAGATTTACTATGATTTTTCAAAACTAAAATAAAAAAAAAAAAGATAAAATCCACTTTTGAAACCACCTATAACTGGGTCAGTGAGGTAAATAAACGGTTTTAAAAGTTGAGAGAGGTAGTTTACCTGATTTTTAAATTCAAAATGAAAAACTAAACTTTGAAGATAGTTCACAGAGATAAAATGGACTTTTTCCTTCCCTGCGACCATGGACAAAAAGGAGAGCCCGAGAGGTCGTTTGGTTTTAGACCCAAGTAGTAGTAGCCAAGCCAAAATTTGGTCTGCCTTAAAATTTTGTCCTTTGTTTAGTTTCAGGCAAAAATTTATCCGGCCATTTGAAATTTGTCATTGGCTGGCTACACTCAACAGCAAAAGTTG